GCCCGCAGCTGCAAGTGAATCAATGCAGACAGCCCCTTATGTCCATCCACCCAGGACTCCTTTTGATACCAAGGGTCTGCTCATGCATATCCAGCTGAAGGATCAAGATCCCAGGTTGAAAGATTTTTGGGTCAGGGACTGTACTTTTTCTTGTGAATTTATACAGGACCAAGCATAATGTTGCCCTGCCCCTCAGTGGTACTTCCAGAACAGTAAGAGTACATAATGTGAGCCCTAATCTTGTCCTCAACCCTGCATCTAATGGGCACATCTTGTTTCGAGCCTGGAGAACAGGCATGCTTAGTTACACTTCCAACAAAGGTACAGAATGAAACAAAACAGATGCAGACTCTTTCTGTTATATAGTGCCTAGGAGTTGCTGGAAGGAAGAGTTTCTAAACACCAGATCCCCAATGGCAGAGAAATCAGATATGTGGTGAAAAAATTGTCCTGTACAAGAGATTTCACGTGATTACAGATATCCAGTTTGTTTTCCTTCGTGGGAATTCATATAATTTTTCCTAGTTTTAATCTTTCTATGTCTACTCTTTTAGTATATTTTTGTTATCTTTTCTGGAACTTGTGACTCTTTTATTTACATTTTTAGCTGTCAATTTTTCCTTTGTAAATCAGTCTGTCTGACTCTTTCTCCTTTTTGTTTTCATTCTCTCCAGTTTGTTGATGTTGTCCAGGTGCTAAATGCCAATTGCATATTAGTTTAGCGGAGAAGCAAGATTTCTTTGGCATTGTCTGTTATTGTATTGATTTTGTATTTGGCAGAGAGGATACACCAGTTTTCAGGCACAAATGACCTTCCTAATATCTCTTGTCTAACATCTAACAAGAAAGCTTACTTAATACCTCTCCCAACTAGAAAGTTGATTCAATAAAAGGTATTACCAACCAAATCTTGCTTCTCATATTCTCTGGATCACCATGGCTGCAATGACAATACAACACTATTATTTAAGGTACAGTCTCACTGATGTTCAGGGATCCTAGTTTTCCCTGATAAAAATTGCAAATTCTCTGATTAAAACCCCTAAATCCATGATTAAAATGAAAGGCCAAGATATATATCAGTTGAACACTATGTTTTCTTGATATATTTACATTTTTAAAGCAATTTGGAAGTCTACCAGTGCCTCAGTCGCTATAATAAACTAGCCAGTTGCCCGTCAGGAATGACTAGGGGAGGGGTAGCAGGGACAGAGTGCTGCCACCCACCACTCCATGCTGCCCCCACCTCCCAGGAGCGGTGGGGCGGGGGTGGGGTGTGTGCGTGCTTGCCCCACCATCCCCTCTGTCCCCCTTGGCCAGCACCCCATACCGCTGCTGCCTCCAGGTTGCTGGCCTCTCCCCCCTGCTCCATCCCCGCCATCATAGTGGTGCTCTGCCGTGCCACTGCCTCTTGTCCAGAACGGTGTTGGAGCACTTTGGTTGTTTCAGTAACCAATCAGAGTGCTCCAAGAGAGTGACAGACAGACAGACAGATGGACTAAACCCTTTATTATATTCGAATTAATTCTAAATGCCTATAAATTTTGGTATTTGATTTTGGGTTTTTTATCATGGAAAATCAGAGCTCTTCATGTTCCTTTAGCTCACAGAATGCAGGTCCAGGCCCTGCACTCCCAAGCTACAGCCCCCCAGCCCTGCTGGTGCCCCTCTCTCCCCCCTACAGTGCCCTCCCCTCAGCCCTGCAGGTACCACTCACTGCCCCCCACAACCCCCTGACTCTGCTGGTGCCCCTTACC